AACTTAATGTTTTAAACATTGATAGGCATTGCGCCTTTCAATACAAAAGTTTGGATTATAAAAAATCAACGACTTGTCAAAATACATGGTGTGAGAAAAACTTGAACGCCAAAAATTTACGTTCATTCATAGGATCCTTTAATTTACAAACATTATGATCTGTTACAAATATTTGAGCATAACACAACAAGACGCTACGCCATGATTCTCTAACAATAACAAACAAAACCCATTTTACAAAATAACAACATTACTTTTAATTGTTTACTAGTGTTTTTGAAGTTTCTACAACATTTTAGATAATTTTTCTTTCACTTTTTATGTAGTTGGTGTAATAAGAATTTACATTACCTACTGCAGATACAGGTCGCAAAAAATTTGATATTCAAGAGCTATAATTCATTATTAATGTTCTAAATTAACCATTTATGTAATTATCTATTTAAAATTAAAAATGTAAAGAGATAATTCTAATAAAACGTTAATAATCACGGATGTACATTATACCTACATGCATGATAGTTTCGCATAAGGAAATTCCAACACATCTTGATCTCCGACTAAACTACAAAGCTTTAAAAAGATTACTAAGAACCAAAGTTATAACCAAAGGTTGAGTGACGTAGAATCTCCGGTTCGACTGGCTTATGCCATAGGAATTTCCAGAGCCATTCTCATTACTTATTAATTTTAGTTAATATTGTAAAACCCACGAATTACCGAGAAATTGGCAATTAATTAGAAAAGACTTCAGATTTGATTTACCTTTAAATAAGTGATTGATAAACATGAAATTTCAATTGTTTTATTTTGATCCAAAAAGAGCAGAACTAGACACTAAATTGATCTTTATATGTACAGGTAGGTTGATACCTACCTTTATCTGATGATAAAAATATGTTTTTGCTGATCAAAAAGTACAACATTCACTTCCCGATTAGCTATAAATAAGTACAGCTCAACGACATTCGTTATTCAAGGAAAGTCATCAAGTTTATAAAACACTGGAACATGCTATTCATACCTTCCTTGTATCTGAGTTGTTGTGTGAAAGTATTTGTTTACAAAATATGGACACAATGCTTCAACATTGAATGATTGTCGTTGTTTATTTTAAACTACCGATGATATACCGCCGACAGAATGCAAGATAGCATTTTTGTTAATATAATTTACGATAAATTACGAGACACACAATAATTAGCAAAACCAAGATCGTCCAAAGAAACTTGATAAACAGTAGTGTTATTGGTTTAGAGCACGCAATAGAGACACTGTTTAGAACACCTTTAAAGTAATAACATACATAGATATAACATGAGATTAAAGTGTTACGAAATAGGCATAAAGTACGACAAAACACGTGTAACAGTATAAGCAAGCAGGTTCGCACACTCGCAGTGATGCAACATCAAAAATTTAGTGAAAGTTCAACGAAATGTACCTTGTTCGATATTTGAAAAAGGCGCGGGAAGACGCGACTGACAGCACGCGCGCACTAGCCGCGCAGTTCGCGAGTACTGAGTAGTGACGTGACGTAGGATCATGAATTCACAAATCGTTGGTTGCGACTTGCGAGTTGATTTTCTACGTCATTCCTCTCGATTGTAAGTTTGTTCAAGGGTAACCGGTCACCGGCAGGTCTAGTGGACGCGTACAATCTCAGTGCACACATTTGATTACCAAGTGAAGCTTTGAAAGGAATTAATTTAATTCTAGAATTCTTCAATTACGTGACGCCTTAAGCTGAGATGCTTGGTTTATTTACTTTTGAAAGAGGGTTGAAAAAATTAATAAACTTTTTCACATTATATCTATGTAGCAATTACATTTTTAAATTAGGTAATAGGTAAAAAATTATATCAAGAGTGTCATCATTATTCCTTTTTCGAAAAGGCAAAAAAGATATTACATACCAAAAAACTATACTAATTCCATAGAGTCGTAAAGTAACTTTTATCTTGTAGGCATTGCTTGTAGGTGTGAATAAATGCAGTTATCATCATTGCATACCTTTGTTTATTGTTTAGCATTTATGGCATAGGTGAACTAAGGAAATAACTATTATTCCATTAATGAACTTTACATAATTATGTTACGTTCTATGAATGACTGTCAAACAATAATGTGTTAATTATAATCTAGGATTCTTAATTAAAATTCGATTTTGTGTGTCAATTGTTAAAAATATTTTTTGAAAATTAATGCCTAATAGTTTCAGTGCTTGTCGAACTTTATTATAACTAATAGATCACTATGTCTGTCAGTCACCTTTGAGTTATTAGATTATTTAGATTTTGGAACATAGTAGGTAATCAACATTTCCATGATTTTGTGAAAATCTTATTTTGTTTGCTTTTACAAATTTCTTACATATTATAATATGAATTAATTAACATACTAACTTGTAGATGGTTTAAGTACACAACTGCAAAACTTTAAAATTGACTATTCATTTATTTACTTTCCATATTAAAGAAATTGGTATGAATTAAGATATTTACCATACATACCATACATTTGAGTTTTAAACTATTGTTTTTTACACTTGTTTAAATGTTTAACTGTTTAATTCAGGAAAAACTTTTGCCATCACTATTTTAATTAGGCATGGCAGCTGAGTCTCCAATTCAATGTTATTGAGTATACTGCCAGCAGCAGGTGTCAAACAGACATTTTAAATATGATAAAGTTATTGAAACCTTTTTCAAAAATACAGATATTAATATCAATTTGATATTTTCATATTGAACTAACATCAATGAGCTTGAATAAGGTACAATTCAAACTAATAATTACATTCAGAAAGGAGATTGATGACTATTTTCTTTTCTTTTTTTTTACTATACTGTTCCATAGTAACAATGAACAAGTTCATGGTTATGTAACATTGTTTTTATAAGGATATTTCCTGAATAAAATTATATTTATGGCACAATTTCCTGTTTTAAGTATGGAGCAGACTTACATTACTATAGTTTTTTTTAATTACTATGAAAAAACATAATGTGATAGGAAATTCTTATTTAAAGTAACTACCTAGGATATCCTTACATCATTATTCTGTCAAACACCAAGCGGTCACCGGTGACCGCGACCTATTGTTCTTTAATTGTGTCTATAAAACCGGTACTCGACGAGTTAAGGCTGTAAGAAGAGCTGTTGCACTTATCAATTAAACATATTTTAACAATTCAATATAAAAACTACACTCAAAGTCTTATTACAGATATCTGTAAAAATAACTACAATCCACATGGCATAAATTAACCCGTGGTGTTTGAAAACCAAAAGAAGTTAAGTATTAAAGTTTAAATAGATAATATACCTAGCTACACTAGTAATTTTTCAAATCAAATTGTTTTTATTATCTCTGATCATGTTGTTACTATGTTATAGACTTTGAGACAGTAGTTATAAGAAATATTTAGAGAGTTTTATTCTCCAGTAAACTACTTAAGTATTCAATGAATTTAAAGCAGAGCTACTGGAAATGTTTTGTTGTTACCTTTTTCAAGTTTTTTTTTCATAAATGAAGCTCCAAATAAATAATTCATGAGTTTTAAACTTATGTTTCAAGAAGTCTGTTGGAATCTAATTTACGTGTTTTTGTGCGTTAATATTTTTGGAATATTGTTATTCGAAGTTTAAAATGACCGTGACCACTAAACACTTCAGTAATAAAATTGTAGGTGCCATAATGTTTTTATTTTTTATGTTAAATGAGTGTTACAGAGATTTTATTATTTAAATGGTATTCAATTTTTTTTAGCATGCGCAAGGTACGCTTAGTCTTCAAGATTTCTCGACAAACAAAACTTATAGTAGATGTTATGTAAAAATGACAAGCAATGTTAGGACTCGTAAATTATTAACTAACAAACAGTAAATAAATGAGGATCACTGAAATATCTTATTGAACACACGGTATTTCTTTAATCTAACGTTGTTTGTCGTAAAATAATGTCATAACTGTGAATTATTCCAAAGTTTAAACTTGTGAAAGTATAACTCCAGTGACTTACATTTTTCCTTGACAAAATCCAATAGTTCTTCGATCTTCCAACTGTTAATACTCTACACTTTTAAGAAAATGTATATTTAATGATCCAATAACTTATAATGTGGATGTATCACATTCATTAATTCATTAAATTGTTCTACTCGCTGATCTTAAGTCATACGAACACGAAACTTGCTCTTTTCGAGTCCTCGTGAACCTCGTGAATAGGATTAGGGTGACAGTGACAAACCAAGACAAAACTTGACATTGACGTTGTTAAAACAGCTGACTGGTTGAGTTTTTTTTTCTATTTTTGTGCCTATTATTTTATTTCATGAGGTTGTTTGGAAGTTTTTACCCTCACAATATATAACAAAAAATATTATTTTCTGTGTATTTTATTTTTTACACAACATAGTTTTCATTTTTATGTGCAACTAACGCCATCTTGCGGATAATATTGATTTCAGAGATACACAAGAAATTCATAAAAATTACACAAGATGGTACGAACGACTATGAGACTATGAGAAAAGAATAATTATTTAACTATTTCATACTGTCAAAAAGAAATAACAATGAAAAGTTATATAATTAATTACCAAAAAGGTTAGCATAATTCTTTTCTCATCTTATAACCGGTATTTTTCTATTTATGAATTATAGTAGTTATCATAGTACCCAACACTATTATATATTCATTCATTACGTTACATTCCGTATTTCATTCATTCATTTTGAAGCAAGAAGAAAAGACAGCAAATCATACCAAATACAACTTCACACAATCTTGTCAAAACGAACGAAATTTCTAAAAACCTTGCGACAGCTGTTTAATAATAAAATACAAAAGTATTTTTATCTTGTACGCAATAAATATTGTTTTTATTGTAACAACGTCAAAGATAGACGCTTTGTTAGTTGTTGTTGAGAACTATTGTGATACGCTCGTAGGATTTTTGTAGTGTGAATATTTACTTGTTAAACGCAGTTCGTGATGGCTAGTGAAAAACCAGTGTCAGGAGCGCAAGCTTCAAGTTTGGCGAGTTCCCAGGCTTTGCAACCTGCTGAGGATGAAAATGCGAAGTCATGTTGGGTGTGTTTTGCCACGGAGGCTGATGATAGATTGGCGGCGTGGGTCCAGCCTTGTAAGTGCATCGGGACCACAAAGTGGGTGAGTACATCACTATTACATGTTGTAAATATCCGTGGTTATATCTTACGCTTCCGATTTATGATATAAACACGTGAGGAAGTGAAAGTAAGGTGTAGTTTTCTCCAATTATTTTGAGTAAACAGTAAACACCACTGCGTATTTAGTATCTCGGTTAATTTATAGCCGCGTAGTTAATTGCGTTGAGTAATTTATTAGATAGCCTGGTTTTTATGTAAAATTTGATTGGTGATTACAAACAAAGGCAAGTGAATGTAATAAATGAGTTATAAAAATGATGACTGAAATAGTTATGGTTTGTATATAAAACATAAGTTAATATAGGGCTCTACTGGTAACAGTTCAGATTGTTTGAGTCTAAACAATTTACCCTCAAAATATTTCAGAACACATATTATCAAAACATTTATGTTTGAAAACTCAAAAGTGACTGTTAGGATACCTACTCAACACATTATTCTTATTAGGTACTCAGTTTCCATTCAAGAAAAAATACAAGTTTTCACTCTTGTTTGACACAATTTTTCTCCTCTTAAGTACTTCAATATTTATTCAAAGCACAGACTTTGAAAAATACAACATCACCATGCTAGATGGTGCATTAAATAACATAACATGTAAGAGTTAACCTTTACAAAAATTGCATAAAAGTAAATATACAATATATACATTCCATTTGCAAATATCAGCAAATTAGTTCAGAACAAAATGGTGTTGTGATGAAGCAGCCAGTGCTAATCCTCCCGCTTATAGAAGGTGGTTCCCCTTCAGTGCTTCAGTTTGACACAAATACTATGTATTTATTACCTTATCTAGTTCTAAATAGAATGTGAGACATAGTAATATAATTAAATTATTGATTCATCAATAATAATATTTCAAAATAAATGATAATGTCACTTCCTTATTAGCCTAGTATACAGAAATATTGTACCTGAAACTGATAGTTTATCTATCTAGATATAATGTGGTGAACTAACTGTTATTGTTTATATTAAAAATATTGTATAAAAATCTGACTGCCTCATTGGCCGAGTGGTCGCAAGTGCGACGGCCGGGCAAGGGGTCTCGGGTTCGATTCCCGGGCGGGCAAAGTATTACTGGGTTTTAAAAATAAAATCTCAGTAGTACCACGGAGTCTGGAATTGTGCCCGGTATATGGCAACAGGCTCACCCCCTATTACATGGGACTCATAAATAGTGAAAAGTGGGTGTTACATTGTACAGTGGCATAATGTGCACCTCTGCCTACCCATTCGGGGATAAAAGGCGTGATGTTATGTTATGTTATGTTATGTTTTATAAAAATTTGACAGTCAGGATTGTGTAGTTTTTAATTTTTTTGTGCTAGAGGTTGTCAATCTTATTAGAATACCATTTTGTACAATTTCTTATTCATTTGTCCGTTTTATAATTTGTTAGACTACATAATATTATCATCATTAGATTTTCGAATTGGTTACAAAAGAAACCGTAATGTTATTTGATGTATCAACTTTGTGTAAGTTGAATTAAAAGAAACTTACTCGTTCCATACAAAATGCATCAAAACTATGTGTTAGTTAAGTTCAAAGAAACTTATTTACACAGTAGTGAACGGTGAAACAGGCTTGCAAAGTAGGTTCTATATAAGTTATTCCGGGTTGAAATTCATCCTAAAAACGGGTCAAATTCATTTATGTGGATATATCAAGTGAATATGCCTGTATTAGGAGATCCCACAATATAAATATGCAATATAAAAATACTCTTGTGATTATATGTTCTCGTTCTTGTAAATGTATGCAATGGAAGATTGAAATGCTCTTGTCATTACACACTAATAGAAGTCATTATTCATAGGGTGGAATATTGATGAAGCTGTAACAAACCCTTGTCATTATATCCAAGTCAATGTCCTATCAAGGTTATCAGTGCATCTCAAGATGTAAATATAACTCTTTGTGTGAGATTAATCTTGTCCTGCATTGAGATAAAATAAGTACATTAAGAATTGATTTTTTGTTTAGGGTGTTGTTTTAGTTTATTCATCCATCCACTGCTACATCACATTACACAGTAGAATAGGTTTGCCTTCTAGTTATCATTTATGTTTAAGTTCGCAGGTGTGCAGGCACTTGAAGAAATCTATAATTTGGGAATGATTTTTAACAAATAACATATGTACAATATGCATTATAATACTTAAATGAGTATGTTATTTATTATAACTAGTTTTGTATTACCTAGTTTATTATATGATATGACATTATTATATTTATAATGTTCTATGAATTTCAATGCAATTTTTTTTATGTCTCTCTTTCTATTTATATATCACATCTAGCTATGAAGTTAACACCAATTCAGTAAGCAAAAGATTACATTATCTACACTAAATTCATTTTATCATGGAGATAATTTGTAAAATTATTGTTTTACTACCTTATCAGTTACCCAAACACACATTATTACGTGTGGAAACCAAATATGGGACACTTATTATCACTAATTTCTAAAGAATTAGAACTAAGGTACACTTAGATAGAACTTATTTGTGTCAAATTGTATTCTTGGATTATTTTGTATTGGGTACATCCGATTGTCAGCACAGATAAGTTGATTATCTTGTGTTTTTAGACCAGTGGCTTAATTGTTAGAATTTTTGATTAATTTGTTAGTCATAACTACTCATTTTGTAATATGTGCCTGTGGCGCCTGGCTTAATGACTATTCAGCAGATTGTTTTTGAACAAAACAAAAATATAATTGTGATTGTTAATTAATTTGTAATTGTTTGTATGTTGCTTCAAAATTTATTTACTATTTAGTTGATATAAATTCTAAAAATACAATTGTTATTAAAAAACAGATACACATTGTACATTATATCAACCACCAGCAGATCAAAACATCTATGTTTTATAAAAAAATAATTTAAACTTTATTACAAACATATTAAAGTCGAAAGTACATAAAAACATTTGACAATTTCAGATAGCTTAGTGTTTTAGTGCTTTTAACACAGTACTAGGAGTTCTTATGGTGCGGTATTCTGTTTGCGTGTTACGATCGCATTATATTTTAATAGCATCGACATAGAGTTTTGCTTTAGTTAGGTCTTGGCCGTATTAAACTTAAATAGTTAGGTGCATTGCAGTATATTTAAATAACGAACTGACTGCAATCACAAAGAAAAGAAACTTAGCAATGTAAGCCCCATGTAATTACTATTAGGGGACGAGTCTAGGAATTAACAAATTACGGGAACAATTCCAGATTTAGTGTTATTATTGGGGTATCAAATAAATCTCTAACGAAAAGTTTCATAGAAAATTCTGAGTCCGAAAGTCGATATCCAAGGTCATTTCAAGCAGGATTTTCTTTCTCTGCTCTCTATGCTCAGTCGTTGCTCTTGTGATTAACTGCTTGACAAGCGAAACAGATTGATAGATAAAAAAAAATAAAAACAGTTACTTATAGCAAGTGGTTTTCTCAAAGGAATGTTTTTATAACAAGTGTTCTTTTGCCAGACATGGGTCACGTTCGCAATAAAAAACAAAAGAATAACAAATGACAAAGGTCGTCACCAACTCTTGTTTAAGTCCAAAAGATATGACTTTTTGTACGTGTAGGTCATTGTATCGTTATCGCCATTTATCGGCCACATTATATTGGATGATTTTAATATAGGACAAATTGTAAGGGCCTTATTTATTTGACCTTCATTGTGATTGATCAGTGTTGGAGTATAAGGTACCTATATAGGTGTGTGGATCTTCTTGGCATTAAATATCAACTTCGTTTGATCAAAAATCAGATTCACACACAGCTTCTGTTACAGTGTTTTCTGTCTTAGTCTTATCATAACACAAATAAGTTTTATAAATAATTTTGGTAACTAATCTTAAAACAAACTTTTATATCTGTTAAATAAACATTGAATATTTTTTAAGCCCCAAGCAAATAGAAGGAGAATTGGCGTATTACCACAAAAAATACAAATTATGAAATCATACAACCTTGGGGTATCCCAATATTGTACAAATAATGTTTCAACGAAAACTTAGTGACTGTCTCTCCGGTTATCCACATGACTAACTAATTAGTAGGCTTTATTTAGCCAGTACAAGGCTAAAAGTTCACTTCCGATAACTCTTAATATTCTTGAATGTGCGAACTTGTTATTTTTAGGATCAACCCATTCAAAAGCCTTGGACAGATCGCAAAACAAATAAAAGGCAAAATATGTTAATGCCTTTGTTATTATTCTGAACTACCGGATGGTGACCTGAATTACTCCTGTAGTGCTGAAAAGCACCGTAATATTTTCTGGCCAATTTTCATAATTTGCGAAGTAACTGTATAAACTGAGCTAAAAGATTTTAACTTGGTACAATTATTTTTAGTCGTTGTAATCCATCGCATGTGTTTTCCCGATGTTGACACATGTATTGTATAGTCGCCAAATCGTTATGCTATTTTCAAATTCAGTTTCCTATTCGGTGAAAAATCTGGATTTGAGAAAATCCGGGATTACTCATTATTAGTCAGCTACGATTGCAACACCAACATCAACGAGGTATTTTATTTTCTTTTGTTAGAACAATACTTCTATGTTTTCAACAAATACGGTACATTTTTGTTATTGATAGGTTGAACAATCCATTGATTAATTGCGACACGCATCAATGACAATCACTTCAGCTACAGTCGAACATTGTATCATTGTTAACTTCAGTTTTGACCTTTGAACTAAATCCATTGAACTTCTGCTCGTCGTATGCAATAAATTGAGAATCATAATTATCGTTTCTGATTGGTTCAAATGCTATTGCGTTAAAGTTTTCTTCAAAAAATTATTTACAACCCTACGGTTGTGCTGTAAATTCTCGTTTGGATTGTGCATCTCGAAACCGATAGATTGCAAGGAGTTAACTCTCTGTTATCGTAGTATCAGACATCATTAAATGTAAAGTTATTAGTCCCTATTTTTTCTATTCGTTGACACTTTGCTGTGTAACACGAGGTTGTTACGTGCAGCGATGGTAAAACCCATAATTGCTAATAATTACTACTGTCTGCCAGTCGTTGAACAATGATGTGACTGGCTATCGAGATCGAGAATTGTATTGTAACGATGCTTATCATTATAAGTAACTATTTGGATTAAACGTACTTAGGATAGTCACAACATAACCTACATTGCTATGGATTTAATTAGAACCATCCCACAGTTTTCAAATTCCAGAGTTTAGATGTCATGATGCGTCTCGTTCGTTGTGTTCGTAATCTCATGTTGCTCTAACCTTAAAGAAAATTTTTCTCTTATTTTGATAACAAGTTAACTAATAATAATAGTCTTGTATGATCCAAAACATCAAAGAAAAACACAAAAGCATAGCAAATGAAAACAATGTACCTACCAGTTGCGTATAGTAGGTACCATTTCATGCCTACTACATTTCGGCTTATTGTTGTGTATGAAAAGTTTTCTCATAGTTTACTTTATTGATATCTAATCAATACGCCAGGTGTGCTTCATTAATTATAGTCGTTCAGTCTATCAGTAAAATGTAAATATTATATTTCCTTGTTTCAGGTGCATCAAAGTTGTCTGCAGCGGTGGGTGGACGAAAAGCAAAGAGGTAACATAACTCGGAAAGTGCTGTGTCCCCAGTGCAAGGCAGAATATATCGTTGTGTTCCCGTCTATGGGTGCATTTGTAGCACTCTTAGATGCCATGGAAGAGATCACTCACAAGATTTGCCCGTTCATCGCCGGAGGAGTACTCCTAGGCTCCATTTATTGGATCGCGATCACGTATGGAGCTGTCACCGTTATGCAGGTTAGTCTCTGTCTTATCTTCAACATGTAATCCAATCTAAACCTTAGCATTGAGAGAATAATCCTTAATCTTGAATGGACGTAGACGAACGACGACTTTGTCTAGATAGTTACGAGTTGGAATCAGCTGTGCCCTTCGAGTAACATCAATACTTGCAGATTTTCTTAAGATTTTGTATTGTTGTGTTGTCCTTGTCTTTGATAACAATGGTTTTCGGAGCACTTAAGTCAATGCCCTTCAAATTTTGCTAAGTAGTTATGGAGTGTTTTATCTTTCAATGAGGTGATAAAAATAAATATGCTATGTTTCTCGCAATACATATTATTAAACTTAAGTGATTTCGTTTTCGTATGAACTGTAGGTAATTTAAATATCCTATACCTACATAGATAGGTGCCGTAATGTGCACCTCTGTCTACCCCTTCGGGGATAAAAGGCGTGATGTTATGTTATGTTATGTTCCATACTTCTTTGGCGGTTGATTTCCTAAAAGATAAAGACCAAAATCACTCGACTTCACCTTGTTTATCTTTTTAATTTGCCATTTTATTTTGTGGCCGCTACAATATTAAACATGCCTATTTTTGCCTCTTTTGTATTAATTTTCTTCTAGAAATTAATATTTTACTTTATTTCCTTATTAAACCATCAAAATACATTGCGATTTAAAAATCCAATGAAGCAGGTCGATCAAGGTGAACTTAAATTTCAAACTTGCCAAAAGATTTTGACCTTACAAGTTGTACCTGTACTTTGTATTGTTGATTTAATTCCATAACAGCTTGTGGTAATAAAAGATGTGAACAAACATTGCCTATTAAGTAATTTTGCTTTTTGTAAAATTATAGATGCACTTAGATTTTTGCCAAAATAGCGTCTAATCTGCTCAGAATTCCAATAGTCCTATGTAAATTCATCTTAACCTATAAACGATAATAAATTTCGTCCTTATTTGCTTAGCGGTTTATGAGTAAATATTTTCTCATGCTTTGAATGAGAGAACAAATAGTTACTTATCTAAATGCTTTGGATAAATACATTCAATCTACTTTTGTATTGGCCTTGTTTTTGTAGCTTGGGTTCAATATAAACCTGCTATCCTAAATACTTTCTTCTGTATATAGTAATAAGCACCAGATTACCAAATTACCTAGTTATTATCCAACAGTTTCAGCGTAGGCCTGTACTATTTTATATTCTGTAACGTAGGTTCTAGTCTAAGCTCTAGATAAGTATGTTTTAGAACCTACAGATTTTCAGGATCTATCTTTATCATCAATTGGAATACGTGCACTGAACAAAGTTTCCCCTTGTAGTTTGCCGAAATCACCAAATTTTACACACGTGATTTGGGCAACCATCGTTAGGTTTTGGAAAATTCAAATGATTTGCATACAGTCTATCCCTATCATTAGTCCACGCTCTTCTATGAAGAGCTATCATTCAGTTCGTATGTCAAATCAATCTTTATAATAATGAAGAAGTGATATTTTCCGCTATCAACTTAACCTCATTTAACCCCGTCTCGTCATTCAATACAGTAATATGAACCTACTTATTTATATGAGCTTGTCACGATTTTCGTCGCTGAAAGCAATTAGCGAGGTAAGTTGTGTGGAAAATGGCACGATCAAATGACTAATTTACTGTTAGTTTGAAATTGTTTACTTATATATCAGAATGTTTTTTTTGTGGTTGAAACAGGTACTAAGTAAATTCACAAACCTACCTTTATCTTATTGCACATGGAGCCAACCAGAAACAGAGAGTCATTAAGTAAAGTTCTTACCTTTTTTTAGCTTCCATCACATTCAGGCATCTGGTCATACAAGTACTTTATGCTGTTTATTTAGTGGTTTAAAGTTATTGGTCTCCTTTTTGGGTCCATTAATGTATTAAATTAATATTAAATTTGATTTATTTGATCCTGTTTTATAGTGTTTATTTATCTTGTGATCTTAGTCAGTCACTGACCAGTCTGCGGTTTGACATTTAATTCCAGTTTCATTGACAGTCCCATCTGTTTCTTGTTGTCCTTCACATTTTCGATAGACTGGTATAGAATTATAGTTTCTCGCACCTAGTTCTTGGGATCTGTTACATCCTTAATATTGAATTGTCACGATGACAAAGTTACTATGAGTTTGTCTTAAAAATAAAAAGTGATGACTTTTGAAAACTTCTCAGTTACTGTTTGCTATATTTCCACTGAGAAACATTCTTCGAACCGCTAGTCTTTCCTAAAGGCAGTTGGTCTTTGGACTATTTAAATTAATTGTTACCACAAATAGGTCCCAAATTACCGAAGCGTATCTTCAGCTGCAAAATTGCATATTGAATGCTTCGCCTGCGTGTTGCAAGTACCGTTACTCAACGCTTAACGCGTAAGCAGGACGTTGATCAAAACTGCTGCGACTATGTAAACAATGGCGCTGAAGTAATCACGTTTCCGTGTTTTTATTGGCATTGTAAGTACCTACTTGAATTGATCAACGGGCAAGGAAAGTTGAGGGCAGATAACAAGAGTAGAGTGCGACTCTTGTGTCTTTAGTTTCTTGAGCTCTTTGCCTAAGCAACATAATCTTTTTTATACTCTTCTCTCCACGGACCAGCTTTGGACACTGTTGAGTCTCCGATTGTGCTTCTCTATTCTACCATTGCCTATTCGTTTCAAACCAGTCAGTCAAATAAATACACAGCCTGTATTTTTTTCATAATGGGATAAAATTCCGAAAAGCAAGTGCGTAAATTATATTAATAAAACCTTTTGACATTTATGAATTCCAAAGCCTAATCATGTGTTATTTATAATTTGCGCGCTAATGAAGTCGCGAATTAACATGTGACGCGACAGAATAGCGCAGTTATTCCAGTTGAAAACACGTTTTGTTACGTTATCTGTGGCCAATAAAAATAATATTGTAGTTTATGTTATTCGCACTTTGTCCTCTTAGAGGTAAACATCGTACAAACGTCACTAATTAAGGTCATAGGTGGTTGAAAGTGCATTATAGTGATAAATTAGAATTACCAATCAGCTGTGCATTTTGCACTTGACATTTTTACACATTCTGTGCAATATAACCTATAGATTTTTGTAATTGACTTTTGAAGTAAGCGTTCCTTATTTTATACTTGTATTTAAGATTTGGAAATTGTCTAGTTATGGAGATATATGATATAGATTATGGAGTAGAGATTCATAATGTAATTTGAGTTAGGTGACAGAGTGGTGAAGATTAAAAAGGCTTATATCCAGATTCAAGTCGATAGACGGCCTAGGAATTACGGGATACCCACTGAAGATGATGAAAAAGATGTAGTTGATAGAACTCAACCCTAACTACAATGTGACTACAAAAGTACTTAATTAAACAAACAAAACAAATTAATAGCTAAGCTAATGCAGTTAAATTGCAGTTAAGTTGCAGTTTTTTTTTTCATCTGTGTATTGTCTATGTGGTGTAGGGTGAACTCATCTAACTTCGTGACAAAGGCATTTAAGTAATAAAATACCAATAAATTATTAATTAATTTAATTCAGTCTCCGCATGAGTTTTAATCAGTCTTTTATGAGGAATATTAGCACAAATAATCAGATTTTTTTCTAGAAACCTAAGAGTTCTACCAAATTTACTAAACCGAATTATTAGGCGAGTCACAGAATTAGATGAGTTCACTAAGTATACATGAATAAATTAATAAATAAATAAATAAAAATAATAATTTAGAAGTCATGTGACAATTTATTCACGGTTCATCGTCAATGACTGCTAAAGTTGTAATCATATGGTGACGTAATTAAAAAGATTTCTGGTTTCCGAGACAGTGTTGCATCATTTCACAACTTTCTCTGAACAACTTACTGCTTGTTATGTTAGTTGGACACTCCTTTGTACACGCCCTTACTCGTTCCTTAAGTCTTCGTGCTTATATAGCTAAAACAATTGCCAAAAATTGGTCTAAAATAGTTATGTTGAAATTATAGTGATTTCAAATCGTAGGGGGTATAGACATCCGGAGTTGCGGACGACTAACTGCCATTTTTTATAACCTATCATTTTGTATTTGTATGAAGCATATGTGAAAATTCTATCTCAGTAAGCAAATCTACAGATAGATAGGTTAAAGAGAATGGTCGAAAGCGAAGCTCTGGAAGTGTGTATAGGGACGGGGTGGTTTTTAGTCAGTAAGAGTCTGACAGTCTCTCGAGCCGTAACCAAGGCGGGATAAGTCATTGGATGATTTCCCCTCCTTAAAAAATGGGGGATTGACATTGTTAGTTCTTACACAAGAAAAAGAAATAAACTTACGATTCATGAATTAAGTTGTATACGTATATTTACTATGTAATTCTTACCTATCAAGGTAGACGATCTACTATATAATGATAGTTATTCTTACCTACCACAGTAAACGACCTTGCATTGTAGTCGATAATCGACGTATATTTTTTTAAATAGGTAGCTCAAATGGTAAATATGTCATCAGATTCGTGATTAAAACCAGGTAGTTAAAAATTAATACAATTTTCATACTATAATGAATTGTACACAGAGGATCCTTATTTCTATTGGTCATAAAATCTCATTATTTCGTCTATAACATTTATTTATTAATAGCTACTGCTGCGCAGTTTCACCTGCTCTACTAGGTTCCTATTGACAGTAGCGTGATGTTTTATATCCAATACCTTCCACGATAAATGTGCTATGCAACACAAAAATATTTTTTCAAATCGGACCATTGTTCCCGAGATTAGCGCGTTCAAACAAACAGACAAACTCCTTTGTGTATTAGTATAAGATACTCAGATTTTCCAGTATTCCAAAAATATCCAGTTTTAATAAGTATTTTTCTCTTATAAGTGCTCTAGTTAGAGGGAGCTTAAGTAATAAAACTATTTTGGATTTCAATAGTGACTCCGATTAAGCAAAGATAGGTACCATATTTAGAAACTATTTTATTGTGTGACGTACTGTTGTGTACTATTGTGGCACAAATTAGCACAAAGTCCATATGGTCAAAATTAGATTTAAAATTAACTTCGTATCTAAGTCATTACATATTTGCTTTTTGCATAGGCGACATGACTATATTTTTAAACTGTGTAACCTTCAGGATATGTAGAATAGAAGGTACAATGCAGTAACAATATATGCTAAACCATGTCGATCATTCGTAATATGTAGTCGCCATGTAGTAAAAATTGTTACAGTTGATTGAGCGTGAAATGAATTTTGTCCAACGAAAATCACGTTCTATTGTGGCGATGATAGTTTTGTGGTTTTCAATGCCAGATTTGTTTAAATATGTCCTGTATTTTTATCAGGACTTTTATCGGGCGTACTGTCTTTTTCTCCATACTTTTGGTGTACATAGTCTGGTCTAGACCCTTTCCACATGCACATCTTAATACTTTGACATCTGTGTATCTCTGCGTATGAATTATGCTGCAGTTTTAAATATCGACAAGTTTTGATAGCAGCTAAAAAATAATTGCTTCGTGTGCGTATCAGTAAAGTCACCTTTATTAAGCCGTTTGCGAGCGAAGGTCTAAAGTGTGATTAAATGAGGCTTACAACTTTTTGTTGGCGTATCACAATTATAATTAATATTATAACCAATACAATATTCGGCTTGAAGGTTAAGACCGAAGATGAACTTTGTATCCGGTAAGAAAAACCTTTTTTGAGTAGCCACTCGATGTTAGATTGTGGGATACTTATTGTATTTTTTATGGAATAAGCCGGTAAACGAACAGACGGATCACCTGATGGTAAGCAATCTGCGTTGCCCATGGATACCCCAGGATGGGAATTAGGATTCTTGGAGATTCAGGAATTGGGGAGATTAGGGAAGGAGCCCCCCGTAATTGGGCCTTCCGGTAAGGTTACACTCACACTAGGACACAACGCAAACGTTGTTTCACGTCGGTTTTCTGTGTGGTATCACTCCGGTCGAGCCGGCCCATTCGTGCGGAAACATGGCTGTCCCACACTAAACGCTTCATAACAAAAATAAACTAAGTATTTTAATATTGGCGTTTCACAAGTTCCTCCTAAGTCTTATGTCTTATTTAGTGGTCTCTATTAATTTTCGCTAGTCATCAAAGTTTGCATTAATCGGTAAACTTTAATATGTTTTAGTACGCAGATAAATTTTGATTGACAATATGTTTGCCTTGGTTATAAGTACGTTGTTACAATAACGTTTATTACATACTCATAGATAGTAAAAGTGTACCAGCATTCACAATAGTTTATTTTGCTCTCAATAAGAGACTTTCTCAGACAGTCAATAAATATTTGCAATTATCTACGTATCCAATAGAATTTGTTCAGCCGTTTTAGTTAAAAAAACTATCAAGGAAGAACACTTCTACATTTTTTAAGAATTTACCCAATATTGACTTTCTGTATAGGTATTTGGCCTGTATAATTATAGACTCGGTCATTTAGTCCCTCAATCGTCAAAAACGAGCAAAAACAATTGAAAGTATCAGTTTGTCGGTCAGTCCTTTAGTGGAGCTATTTGCGCATTCCAAGGTGTAAAGATGTATATATCCTTATCCTTACTAATATTATAAATCGGAAAGTGAGTTTGATTGTTTGTTTGTTCCGACTTCACGCCGTAACTACTAAACCGATTGCATTGATTTTTTGCAGACGTAAAGTTAGTAGTCTGGATTAAATAATAGGGCACTTTTCATCCCGAAAAAAATTTATATTCCCGAGGGAAAACAAAAGTATTGGTATATAGATGGCGCTTTGTGTATTGGTATATGTCACATAGGCTACTTTTTATCCTTTTGTGACGCGAGCGAAGCCGCGGGTAAAAGCTAGTATACTATTGAGAAGAACGAGCAAGAAAATAGGTCACTCTTTTTTAATCAGGTTCACAATACAATTCTTTAGTTACATAGTTTATTTGTTAATATAAATTTTTATTGGTATCTTTCCAGGTAGTGGGTCACAGGGAAGGACTGGAGATGATGGAGTCAGCAGATCCCCTGGTGCTGCTGGTCCTACTGCCGACTATACCAGTGACGCTGATCAGCGCTAAAATGTATAACTGGGAGGATTCCGTCTTGCTCTTCCTGAGGAAGTACTGCTCGAAGATACCCGCCCTCTCTTACATACTGCCGTTTGGCAAGTGAGTATCATTCATTGGCATCAATTTATTATTCTAAGACTTTCCGGAGATTAATCTGCCATGATTAATTACAATAAATAATTCAGAAATAAGTAAATGTATTGTTATGTTAAAATAACAGAGATTGCTATGTTTTACAGTTCTATTCAAAGGACGATAGTATGTGTAAATTAGTGATAAATGACGGTCAGAGATGCACAACGTTAAACAACGTTTCCGTTGTGTTTCGTCGTGTGAGTGAGGTTACCGGAGGCCCTTCTCCCAAACCCCGAGTCCCTAACACAATCTTCAAATTCCTAATGCCCAAATCGCCGGTAACGCACTTGTCCGCCGCTGGTGTTTCGGGTGTCCATGGGTGGCGCCGATTGCTTACCATTAGGTGATCCGCCTGCTCGTTTACCGGCTTATCCCAAAAAAGAAATGACTAAATGACCGTTCGGTCATTTGCCCCCGTAATACGTACTATTCAGTACATTACCCACCCCGTGAAATCCTTTGCCTGCCCGCTATTTTAGCAACATAGCCGTGTTCATTTATGACCTGTGTTCACAATCAGCAATCACAAGAAAATGTACTGCTGTGGTAATGTCAGTAATTTTGACATGACGATGTGTTTATTTATTTCTGAATTATTTTCTGTAATTAAGTAAAGTAAGATGGTGGCTTAATCTTCGGAAAAAGTCTTCGAAAAATATATTGATGAAAATGATACTTACTTGCCAATAGTAAGAAAGTGAATGGAACTTACATTATTAATTTGGATACGTACTAGTAGTAAAATTAATTTCTTTTTATTAGAGCATTATTGCAGTAACGACATGATTATTTCAAAGTTCTTTTCATAATTTTCAGTGTGGAAGGCGACAGAGGTACTTTGGTGGGCCACAACAACCAGCATCAGACGAACAACTCGCATCTATCACCGACACGGATCTTCTGCTCGGCACTCCTACTGCCAACCATCTCCACTATAATAGGCAAAATATTCTTCCGTTCCATACAAAATAACCTACACAGAACAATACTAGGCGGTATCACCTACATAACTATAAAAGGAGCGTTAAAAATCTATCACAGACAAATGTTGTACATTCGACACTCGAGTAGGAAAATTTTAGACTATACAGAGTCAAATCTGAAGTTGTATAGAAGTGCCGCCACTTCCACCACAACAGATGCCATATCCAGTACGCGAGATGACACGGAACAAGTCGTTTAATAGTTTTAATATGTACATATGTATAGTCGACTAAGTGCGCGATGTTCGCGGGGTGAAGAAGCCTTTAGAGTTTGTACCGGACTTTTATAAATAAATGCTAATTTATAAGGTTTAGACTTTAGCGGTGTGGAGTTAAAAATTGACTAGTCTTTTGTGATGTCGATTTAAAATCGAATCACGGGATGTGGTTGTAAAGTAATCGTTTCTAATGACCGTTCTTGAGGTGTGAAAAATGTGTGTAGAGTCCAGTCACTATTGATATTGGTAAGCTAGTCGGGGAGACAGGTGCGATGAATCATTCGTTATCTAAAACTCGTTATAAAATCGCGCATATTGAAAACGAGAGACAAAGATGTGTATTGTGTAGTATTTATAAACCATTTATAGAATGTTTATAAATGTCAAGTTTTTATAAATAAGATTGTTGTAAGTTTCGGTTTGATATGTAGTCTATTAATCCTATCATTGTTCCCTCGTACATGTTTGTATTACTTATTATGATATTAACCATTTGTTATGTTGTTATACATTTATATGTATGTCAAAACTCGGTAATTGGATGTTAATGTAAATAGACCGGGCTCTTCACCCCACCGGTGACGAATTGCAATTAATATCAATATTTATAAAATAATGTTGAATAGAAACGTTATGAATAATGTTTTAAATTGTTGTACGGAACATATCCGTTAATTAATAAATGTTTACATTTCATGCTCATGCGTCCATGACACAATCAATAAATGTTTTCATTTTAAAGTTGAAACAGCTATGATATTGCCTCTGCGTCGCTTTCAAGATGATGTGCGAATGTAGCATCTGGCTCTTGGACTATAGATGTAAAATTTTACAAATATATGACTGTTATTGGTGACTATGAAATAGTAAATATGCTAGTAGTTATTTAGTGACAGTTTGACAGTGTAAATCTGTTATTAGTATACAGAAAATTTATATTTTTACAAAACTAATAGTTTTTGGTGCTCCAAATAATAAAGTAATGTTTCTTCCATAGTAAAATCGTCAATTATGACTATACACAATATCCATAAAATCAATTTGAAAATAATACACACTAACAATCTTATTTAGAATTTATTCAACCGATTTTCGCCTTTATTTCATTGGTATACGACTTTATTTTATTTGGCGACGTCGCTGGCTACGCCGCCATGGCGTCCTGGCGAGTTATAGCCCTATTGTAGCGTGAGAACCTGTTTGTCCAATAGACAATTGTTCTAGTGTCCTAGTGTCGTTCCATTGGACAATTAATCTTTGATAACTACCGTGATTTTTACATTAGTGCCATCTATCGATCATACTGTTGAATAAATTCTCTAAAAGATAAGTAGTTTGTGTTCGTTTCAAAGCAGAGTATATTTTAATAATAAAGACTTCATTGTATTGTTATCTGCTACTGTTAATAATTATGCTAGTGATATTAAATAACTAATCTATATTAACCGGCATACACTATGGCCAGAATTTTCTTGGTGGGACAAGTTCAAGTATTGTGATTTTCTTGCCTTTAACTTATAACACAACTTCTTTTTTTATTCTTACGTTAACTTACTTGTATTATAACTTTCGTGAGACATACTTAATTAGTTATTATGTTATGTTTTTCGTCTTCTTCACGTAACTGTTTGACGAGGAACATTCCGAGCCGAAATGGGACGAGAGAGAGAGAGGAAACGAGCTACCGTGGCTTGAAACTAGTTGAGTTCCTCGCCAAACGTCGAAAGGTCCGTGAGTAAGTCAAAAAATATAAAAGTAATTAACTTCCTAGTAGACATTAATAACTAAATGATGGCAGTAACCATAAAGTAATGAAAAATTTACAATTTGCGAACTTACCTCCACCGCAATCTGGCCATGGTTCGCCGACTATGATAGACGAGACGTTGACGGAATATTAGTTAAATTAGAATATTTACCAGTTTATTTTTTATACTTAATGACTTTTTGTAATATACATAGTAAAAGAGTATTGTTTGACGAATTATTTAATAATACATACATAAAATATTTTTCCAGATAATCGTTTTTTATTTTGTTCATTTTAGTTCTCGCAAGTTGGCGCTGGTGTAGTTTTTTGTCCTATTAAGTCAATTAATTTTTTTTAATTAAATCTCAAAACTACACTAACTTTATCTTAAATGATTAATTTAAACAATACTCTTATAAATTATAAAATTGTTAATAGTAGAGCTAGATAAAAAATAAATCTTAGCAATGTCCATCAGCTGTCCTAAAGCGTGCCAAATTCAACCGTATAGCGATTCAAATAAGGACTTTAAAAGCATTTTCGCTAAATGTTTTAGCTTAAATCTTCAGTACTATACGTCTAGTTAGATTTAATTATAGTAATTTATAAATGATAGAATGTGACAGGAAGGGGAATTTTAAATTTGAAAATAATTCGTAGATAGAAAAAATGTTCCAATTTAAAATAGATGAATTGATTGAGTGCCTTTGCGATTAGAAATTAAAATAAATGGTTTGTAAATACTTAGATATACTCATATCTTCTATCGTTTACCTTCCTAAGCCCGGTGCTTTTAGTAATATTAAATTTTACCAATAACTGACTCGATTAACGCTTAGGCGATTTTTGACAGTAATCGATTGATAATCGGTTTAGTTTGGTTTCGAAATACGTTTCGATATTCATGTGTGCTCGCTTTGTGCATCGATTTGTAACGAATCGAATTGTCAATTAATATTTGTTAATATAAAAGGTATCTTTATTTGTTAGTGAAGGTTTTAAAATCTTGGTTTGTTAAATTACACAATGGTATATTTTTGTGAAAAGGTATCATTTGAGTTTAAAGCGTGTTTTACACCAAATTTTTATTTTTGGTAACTTATAAATTCTATAATGTATCTTTCCTGTACAACTATTCTTTCTGTTCACTTTCAGTGTGAAAATCTAAGGAGTAAAATAACCTTTGTTATTATTGTATGTAGTATACATTTTAAATGTTCAATACTATTATAAAACAACATCAATAATTTCATCAACATCTGTTCAGTAGTTTTGAAGTACATCACATCATCGAAATGTTTGTTTTATTTTGTTATATTTTAAAATTGTTCCTTTTTACGTAATTATCGATACATTTTCATTCTTCACTAATAAATTAAGAATTTGTATAAAAAATGGTACAATTATACCATCAGTTACTTGGAATTTAAATTGAGAAGTGTATAATTTTGATTGATTAAAATGTTTGGTTTGTATAATTTAGTAATTACAATGTTTAATTTGTGACTAGCTGAGCGGTATCTGTGGTTTGAATATTCGTTACATAAAAAAACTTCCGTTATTGTCTTACTGACTGGCATTACTGGCAACAACATTTTACTTGTATATAATTCCTAATATTAAAAAAAAGATAGATAATCTGCGTAAATTAATCCAAAGTCATCTATTTTATCTGCGAAAATTTCATCTATAACTGTCGAGTAGTTTTAACACTTTAGAGAAGTTTTAAAATTCTAATAAGTAATGTTTTTATTGTAAACATATAAGAATCTTCGATTATATGAGCATTTATCACCCTTTTTAACATAACCTGGTTCTGGTTTGCATTTAATTTAACTTCAAAAATCTATATGCGCGTTACAATTTTCAACCTTAGACTTTAGATATTTAGTTCGAAATTGCTGTGACTAAATTCAGAACTTCATACGAAATATTTGGTGCCCTAATGACACTGGCAGTGTAGTCGACAAAACTCCGGTTGCCATTCAAGAAGAAAAAAATATTGCCCTAATTCTTAATTTAAGTAATTAAAAATTTCTCAAAGCCTCTAAAGGTTTATAAATGACGAAAAATCTAATTTAGACTTCGTAAAAATAAACACTATATCGGATCAGTTAGTCAATGTTTGCGTACGCGCAACACAGGAAGTTTAAACACCATTTTTAAACGATTTGTTTTATAAACTGCACTTATCGTTCAGCTAACCACAAGCAGTTCGTTTTACTAGTCTTGAGAACCTAAAACGATTCGCACGCAATTTTGTATAAAACGAAGCTTCATAAAACTTATAGCCATTATTTTGTCTACTGTACATTTTAAAATGATTATAAATATTATTTTTTATTGAGTCTCTGTTTGTTGTTTTATTTGCGTTGTGTGTAGATGTCGCTAGTTGTAGTATTGTTTTTATTAAATGATGTTTGATGTATGTCAATTCAATATTCCATATCGATTACGTATCAATGTTGGGCATTACGATTGTTGAATGACTGAATTTATTGGTATTTTGGTTTTATTGCAAGGAAAACTATGTTATTAATATTTTTATAAAGATTTATTAACGAAACTGAAACTTGTTATCTTCAAATTACGATTAATTTGCAACATAAAGACCTGATAATAAGGTTTAAAATTAAGGAAATGTTAACATCGTAAACTGTTACCTACCTATCATTACGATAATCAGTACTTGTAGATATTATATAAATAACCAATATCAGAAAGTCTTGGCCTTGAAAATACATCTTTCTATACTCATTGAATAAACTTTATTCTTTATTGTTAGGTAACAGTAACCCATTGTTACCTAATTCTAGCAGATAAGATTTGAGATACGCCTAAACATAAGTGCAACCGTCACCCAACCCTAATCTATTAAAAAAAATAGATTAAAAAACATGATTATGAGGAAATTAAAAAGAACCGACTTGAGAATACGAAAACAACAATTTGCAAATAAAATATTGCAACTACAGGTACCTATCTAGAAGAAATCAAGTTAATACAATCCATTAGTAAGATAATGATAAGGGTATTATCATATAAAAAGCGGTATCGGTGATAATATATCGCTCATATCTTATCGCAGATGAAATTATGGTAAATAGTAAGCGTTGGCACATTGTGTTGCAGTGTTTAACAACCTTTGTTTTATTTCGCGTGTGTTATCAATCCGGAAAGAGTGCATTTCAAACAAGTTAATCTAGGAAACGGTGGTTTGTGAAACTGTAAG